CTATGTTTCTATCAAGCTTTAGTATAAATAGAAAACTTAGGCAAGCAAGTAACTGTCCAAGGAGAGCAAACATAGAGTTGTTGTGCATGTAAGCCAGTCATGAGCTTGTTACTTGCAAAGGTGCTAGTGTGTAAATCAGTCCTAAGAATGTGCATGTTAAAACCTTTTGTGTGTAGAACTCTCTAAAGCCACAAGTCTAGTGGAATGTGTTGATTGTACAAGTGAAAATAATTTATCTTTTCAGTTGATGATTAGAATAAGTGAGTGACTTTACATTATTTCTTCAAAGTATCCTCTAAAAGAAGGAAAGCATGTTTTCTGTTTATATTTATCTCAAGTGTGGAAACACTTGAGAAATTAAAGTTAATTGGGAACATGTAAAAAAATTATATATGATGAAATTTTTATTTCTTTCATATGTTTGACTTGCAGTGCTTTGGAGCTGATGGAAAGTTAGTTCTTCATTACTGTAAGACGCAAGCATGGGGATAACAGAAAGTGTATAATTTATACCATAAAAATTCTAGTTGTTAAAGAATCATAACATTATAAATATAATTGTAGTAAATAATGTTTATCATTCTCTAGTTTTGAATTTCAACACTTGACCTCTTTTAGCCTAAACAAACAGCAAAGAAATGTCATTAATTTTCATAACTGTAGGGTTTTTTGTGAAGTAAAGTATACTGTAAATTTTTTTAAATAATGTAGTTTTGTTTAGGTGATGGACCTTCAAGTGAAACTGCACCATATAACTTACTAGCCTTAAGTGCAGGCATATTTTGGGTGTGCGACTGCACATTTTCTTATTATGGACATTGGCGCAAAAACTTTCTGAAAATTTTCTAAAAATGTTACCATTGACTGGTGGTGAGTTAGTGATGCCAGAAATGTAAAAGAAATGGGGGTCACCAACTTCGTTTTGGAGAGAACATGTGCGGAAGAAAACCGAAATCTGAGTAAATCGGGCTTGGTTGGAAGGCCACAGTGGCTGCAAGTCCCAAAATATTGCAATTAGAGCTTTGAAGGGAAATGTTCTCTGCCAAATATGGTGTAAATGGATCTATTAAGCGAATTTAGTCAACTGGTGAGGCTCCCCAGAGAACAAGTTCGCATTTAGAGACCACAATTTCACGCGCTTTGCAGCCGCATGATGGCAGGATTTGATGTCTCGCTGACAGAAATTGTGAATTTTTTTACCTTCCCACATTGATTTTTTGTTCATTTTTGGACAATGTGGAGATAATTGTAAATAAAATCTGTTTCTGAAAAGAAGAGTAGGGGTCACTGTGCATCCAAGATCGTTAATCCAAGTAAAGCTATAGCACTGGCCATTATTTAGCACACGTGCTTGATGCATGACATGGCATGTGAATTTGCGTGCGCAGTAAGGATGCGCAGAAACAATTAGCGCGAACGTCCTTAAGTTTGTAACTGTGGAGGTAGGGGCAAGGGAAAATTTGCTCCAATCTTCTACCAGTCAAGCATCCAATAACAATCTAAGATGGTGGCATAAAAAACCTGGTATATCGAGCATTCTGGTACAAGAGAATGCCTGCTCTGCATCCAACTACCACCTCACAGCGAGACTTTGATTGTCAGTTGATGTGGTTAAGTCTTCCCTACAATACGTAATGAGGTGAATGTCAAACAATCTGTCAAAATAACAGAGTTCTGAATGTCAGTTGTCTTCTCTTTCACCCGGGAATTGGGCTGAGGGCAGGAGATGATGGACATTTCATGCTACAGAAATATCATTAGTGACAGTTTTTGTGTAAACTGAATAACATGTAAATATTTTAAATAGACCCTTCTCCAAAATGGCAGCCGAAAATTCAAATAAGCGAAAATTAACTAAAATCAAAAACGTATACCAGCACTAGAATGAACATCTTTACTTTAGTAACCCTGCCAATTTTCAGCATTTCAGGTGTAATATCAGCTGAGAAAATGTAAGTTGAAAATTGAGAAATTTATAGACGTTTGTATGACTGGGGGTATAATGCATACCCTGGGTATAATGCATACCCCCAGTCATACAAACGTCTGTACTTTTTTCAATTTTCAACTTACATTTTCTCAGCTGATAATTCACCTGAAATGCTGAAACTTTGCAGGGTTACTAAAGTAAAGGTGTTCTTTCTAGTGCTGGTATACGTTTTTAATATTGACCTATTTGAATTTTCGGCAGCCATTTTGGAGAAGGGTCTATCGGTGTTTTAATGATGTATCATCATTGTCTTTCAAAATAATGACATGAAAAAATAAGGAGACAGGGGGTTGTTAATTTGTAAACTGTACTGTCAAAAGGAGAATTCTCTGGTAACAGCATAGCATAGCATGATTGATTGGTAGTATCAAAATCATGCCTTTTTACAGTTCAGTGGAATGTACTGCTAAAATTTATGAAATGTTGACTTGCAGCACCATTTGACACACACTTTGTTCATACTACAGTTTTATGTTTGCTGCCATCAGTCATCTTAGCAGAACTCCCAGGAAAGAATAATAATAAAAGAAATCTTATTTATGTAATGCAGTTTGTTTGTTTGTTGCTCGTCATTGTAATGATGACCGACAGCAGCCAAAAATGCAATCATAAGTTAGGTTTTGAACTGCAGAGTTTGCACGATATTGTTAATTGCATTGCAGCTGGCTATTTACATCCCTTACTATCATGCCTTTGGGCAATAGAAAAAATATACTCTGTAATGATATGGCCATCTGCCATGTCATTGTTCATTTTATTACTTAGCGCGCGCTCATGCATGACGTCTCATACTGCTGTTTTGGGAATGGCTGTCCTACAAAGGCGAAAAAGCATACGCTACAAGGTCGAAAGGTAGTATGGGTAAAGGGTTTAGGTTACTTGACTGAAGCCAGGAGCCCATCACCAGGATCCTGCAACTACCCCATATTCCTGTCACGGCGTTTTCACAGACCGATCTATTTTTAGTTTGAATTTATGTCGAATTCAGTTCCCCACAGGAACCTCAGTGACCAATTGCAATCATAAGCACGGACCAATGTTGACATGTCGACAATTTCACATGAAGCCGCATTGTTTTATCCTCACCGAAGCGTGCTCATGTAGACTGGAACTGGCCTATTTCGCGGGAAAAATATCTAAAAA